GATTACCACATTGGAAGGGAAGGCGTCAAGCGATGCCGTGTCAGAATCAACAAGCATCGGGTCGGTGGAGCCAACCGACTCCAAGTCCGTGATAAGCTCGCCGGAGACGTGGAGTTGGTCGAGGAGGCTGGCGAGGTGGCTTTCGGGGCAGCCTGTGCCCGCGTCGGATGTGGGCTCGTCGGAGATGCGAGCCTCGCCAAGAAGATCGGTGAGGCAGCTCGTCGCGCATGCGTTAGCGACGCCTTGCAGCACATCGGGGCAAGCGACATCGGGCGAGCCGGGCTGGCTACGCACGCTGGGAAGGAAGAGGGTTCCCGTCCAGAGCAGGTCTCCGGACGACGGTGCACCTGGCCCCACGGTGGGCGCCAAATGTCGGGTGGTTGGTGCGACATATGCCAACGGGTGGCTTATCATTGTGGGAGCCAATAAAACATCGCCGGTGCCTGGAAACGGGATAAGGCGAAGACATGCACGCCGGCGGATCTTACCCAGCTTCAGGGCTCTCCGTGGAGATAACACCCCTACTGCTGCTCCACGGGGTCTCCGCATGGTCACTAGATTGACAAGTAGCTACAAGAGGCTCCTTGAGCTGTTTGGTGAAAGGATGAGGAAGGGCAAGGCTAGCCCGCTTCTCTTGATGAGGTGTCTGGAACTATCGAAAGGGGGATCCCTCTGCATGGGCGCCGTGGGGGGTTTATATAGGCCTACCCCCAGGGGTACAACGGTAATTTGGCTGGGCGTGGGCCCCAGCCGTCTGCGTCTACGCTCGCCGGCTTCTCTGCCGACAGATGGGGCCCGCCGACTGGTGGACCCCGCCGGCTGCCAGCCTTCTGGTCGACAGGTCGGTCCCACCGCTCGGGAGTCTTGTCGGAGGCTGGTTAGTATTGCCTTGCCCCTAGTGACGAGGGCTTCGTCATGGTAAGCATGGCTACAGTACCGCCGCTGGGCGGCTCATCACTGTAGCCCTACCTCGTCTTATCTCCTTAATGAGGCACCTCCTTCGAGGGAGAGAGCTGGCCGGCTATTGGGAGCCGGCCATACCCCAGGACGACTGCGGGAGGCCTGGCCGCCTTTGGGTGTCTCCCTGACTGAGGGGCCCCGCCACCCACGGGTCGTACTGACTGCTCGCCATGGGTGACGTCGTGATCAATATGGCAACAGTACCGCGCCGAACGGGTGATGTCCGCCCTGTACGACGTACTGTGGCCGTGCGCGTCCCGGGATTCGGGGGTGGCAGGCTTCACTGTAGCCACGCCCCATCTCGTCGCTGTTAGGTGGGCTCAAACTCCGAGGGCACGATCTTGGCCGCCTGCTGAGGGGTCGGCTCCTTGGAGTCGGCCTTCTCATGGCCGGCTTCTTGGAGTCGGCCTGCTCGTGGTTTTGTTTCTCAAGGATTTTTAGGGCATGGCCGCCTTTACGCAGCCGGCCTGAGAGGTAGCCAGCTGGGGGAAGGCGGCCTCACGTCTTGGACGCTTGGAGGCTCAATTGGCCTATAATTTTTCTGAAGAACCAGTGGAAGCCGGCTAGGCTACCCGTGGTCATTTACTCCGACATTCGGCTACTCCATGTCGACGAGCACGCGTGTGCATGACCATAAAGGAGAGCAAGCCGGAGCCGCGCTCTTTGAGACCCTACACTGGGAGAAGGGATATACGTTTTTTGGGGAACGTCCTAACGATTGTTCACTTCCATCCGTCTACATCGATGACTTCAACTTTCCCAACCGTGTCATGGGCGACAAGAGTGATGCCACAAAGAAGGCTTCAAATGCTTCTTTTGTCGTCACCGTACCACTGACCTTTTCGAAGGGTATGATTTGTTCATTCCATTTTTATGACCATGTGCTTGCAGTACTTGTTATGTTAATTGATATGCATGTTCGTACACACTCGCATGATTAACCTACAAACATGAGATTAATATTGTTAACACTGTC